GTATGCCGCATGTTTTAAAGTACACGATTTATATCTTTGGCTGACTGTGTTCTAGTTTTTTCTGCTGTGGGAGCGTTTGGCATTTTTCAGCTATGTTTAAGTTATACATATCGCAGCGAGTTATGACGCTTTGCTACGACGCCTTACCGGAAAGTGAAAACAAGGCGTTACAAAGTTATTGGCCGTCTATATTCGGAGGAACCCTTGAAAGGTGTCGACCTCCACTTCAGCATGAATATTTGATGAAACGGTTGAAGAACCTGACGGTCGACAACAGCCGACTAAACCGACAGCGGTAATCGTCCGACCACGACCACCAACACAAGCTGTCTCGAACACGCCCAATGGCCCCTGCACTCCGCCTTGCGACAATCGGCGGGGAGTTCCATGACAGACATTATTAGCCGCGCAACTCAACTTACACTCTTTGCTCCCGAAGCCGTTTACGTCTAGCAGCGTCTGAAGCCAAATAACGTCGACTTCATGTCGATTGCCGAAAGCTGGTTTCGACGATCGACGCCGAGCAAAATTATAATGGTACCCAACGACAGGATTTTTCGCCGACATAGAGCAGGCAAACTTATTAGACCAGGACCAGTCAACATTTTGTTTTTAGAAGCATACTGCCTGGCGTAACCTTTGTCGCTGATTCATATAAAAACTCAGGGTATTATTCTTTTATTTTGGCAACCGTAACCTTAGAAAGGTCAAGCAAGGTAACTTAAGTTAAACGAGCATGACACTTTTTACTCAGAGTAGGTATTTAGATTCTGGACATGCTTTGAAGACGATTTTGAAGTTTGACCTTGTTTGACCTTATTTGGCACGAAGTTCATGACCTAGGGACCTTAAACTCTGACCCAAGTGAGTTTACGTAAGGGCCAACACACCCTCTGAATATGGGCCCTTTAGCTCTCTTTTGGATTATGAGATCTCGGGGGTCAACTTGACCCCCGCCCGAGCAAAGGGTATTCAACCGGCGGCCCGGGCTCGTGTTAATCGAAAGGAGCAGGAGAAGTACATTGTTAACAGAAGGGCATCTGCCTAAGCGTGTTTGCAGGAATGTTAAGAATCGTGTTCTTAAACTGTACGTGAAATAAACATAAACGGTATTTCACGTGAATTTGTTCACATTAATATTCACCAAAATGCATACGTTTTATCAATGAAATTTCGGTGTTTTGGGAACCCGCCTATAAATGGATTATGATAGTCAAATATAGTGTGAACACGGGACGCGTTATTCTCGTGAGCGAAAGAATCAGCACACAAATTCCTAAGCACGTAATGGCAAATTATTCATGACTTTAATTTCCAGTTTGCAGGAGAGCTGTAACTACAATCCCTTCAGCTGCACGGAACAGGTGCTTTTATAAAAAGCAGATGCAATCTGTGTGGCTTCCGTGCATGATTGCTGTGGCTAAGCACATGAGCTGTACGAGGATATCTAAGCATATCATACACACTCATACGTATATACGTATATATATATATATATATATATATATATATATATATATATATATATATATAAATGATATCCAAAACATTAGGCACGAGATCCGAGAAGGTCTTGGCCCTGTCCCCTTATCCAGTCCTGTCCCCTGTCCCTCAGACCTTTAATAAATGTGGTGGGCATCTCCGCAATCGGATATTCATCGACGTCCTCATAATATTCCGTGTATTCATACGTGGGAGAGTAGAATGTTTTCCGGCATGGTCTGGTCTCGTATCGTAGATCGGCAAGCCGAAGCCGGCCAGAATCCTGTGAATTTAGAATCTTCGGCACGGCGGCAGGAGCCGTGAAATCTCGTACTTTGATCAGGCGTATGACTGCACCCAGAATGATTTCAAGATGAACGAAAAATGCATCCGGCAGAGATCAACCCAATGCTGAAATTAGCTTGTTTAAATCAACCATTTTTAGGTTGCGGGAAAGATCCCTTCTCAGTGATGCGTACATGACCAAGTTGGTGAATGGGTCATAACTTGCCGGAGATTTTCCAGCGCGCATGTGCGTTGTTAACTCATACAACACTGGCAGGACTAAATAACCCAGTGTTGATGCGGTCCAGATGGCTTAGTGATGCACTCGAACGCGATGGCAGATCGTGCTGCTGTCTTTCGGACGCGACGAAGCGGCTTCACGTCACAACTAACTAGGTCTATAACTGACTAGGTCCACCGACTAGGTCACAGGTACTACCAACTGGATCCGCAAGAGCACTTATTTCCACAGATGAGTAATCCCAAGTAAAAAATTGTGCACACTCGATAGCATCCACATATTGCCGACAGGTTTCCATATTTTGTCCACTCAACTTGCAGCATACGTTCTCTTTAAGTACACCGGTCTAACAAGTCTGATCACTATCTGTTCAGTCTAGCCAGTCTCACCGGCGTTCAGTTGACTAAAGACTTACATGGAATGCGGTGAGTGAATCGGCGTGGATAGTCTCCCAATAATATGCCAGCGGTGGTGGTGAGAACGGCTGCGATCGCCTCTTCTTCCTAGCCGGCGGGGGTGATGGGAAGCCGGGAGGGGACGGCAGCCCGCCTGGCACACACCACAGAGTAACGTCACCCACACGTGTGACGCGTGTTAGTGACGTCGCATATGACCTGGCGACGCTGATCGAGCCGCTGACATTTATGATCCAGACTTATCGGGAGCGTGTTTGACGACAATAACATACGCCTGATGAAAAATAGAAACACGACTGACGTCTGATGAATCCAGTTAGGTCGTAGAAAGTGTGAATAAATGATACTGACAATTTATATGAGTAGTATTATGTTTCTAAATTTGGTTAAGTCATTGGATAGCCTTTACCGCATTATGAACATAGCATAACAATACCTAATTCAAGCAACTGTACGACCCAGACCGGGTCCGACTATTTTCGTTCAAACCAAGGCTCTGCATTACAGTGTTTGACTTTGCAGCAACGATGTCGGTCATCGGTCGTCACAAATCTCAAGTTCTAAAATGTAAGTAAAGACGGACTTAAACCTGGCCTGAGCATAAGGGCTGCTCGATACACTGACCTCAAACACGTAATGCCATGCCAAAGACGAACCAAAGATAACAACAAAAAAAGGTCACTACAGTGCGTGACGCACTAATGATTGAAGCCATAAACGCAACTATGCATGTGCGCGAACCGTCTAGCAAACTGATCGAGGTCCGGTCGCTGGAAAATTTGAACGCGAGGATCATCCGAAATGGGCGGCGATGGCGCCGACGGTGGTCCATCCGTGGGCCAGGCAGCAAGCAGCCTTACAAGCGGTCAACAGCTGGCATGTCCACACTGCGAAGTTAATGTAGCATCCTGGTCAACTATCATATGCTGCGATGCGTATAGGTGATATGTGCGTTTGACCAACACCATGGCATGTGTGCCACAGACGTGCAAAGTTTCTCCTCTTGCAGTCGGAAATAATCAACAGCACCGCCATTTCAAAGATGTAATAGGTCTGAACCGAGAGGTTTTACTTTCGGCGCTATTTCAGTTGTAAGACGTGTGCTGAGATATTGGAGGAAGCGCAGACGAAAAGGGATCTCTTATTACTACATTACCACCGCAGCGTACACGGGGGAAGGGGGGCCTACCCCAATTACGCATCACCAAAACATTCAGTCCTAGTCCGAATGTCCAGCTGCAGATTCCGTTCGATCAAGAGGCAGCGAACTAGCCGACCCACAATGATCATAAACACTTCTATAGCACCACGCAGCGCAGGTTAAAATCCATCACGTGCATGATGGAGCGCTCCACATTCGAACATATTACATGTTGCATGAGATATAATACAGTATTATCACCTATATTTATTATTATGCTTCGAAATGGAAAAAACATTCTAAGCAACATGATTTGTCTATTTAGTAAATATTCCCTTCAATACGGCACTGTTTGATTACGCCATGGAACTTTTAAATAACGTTAGAGGTGCTGACAAACTGGCCGTGCAAATTGGCAGCCTACTTCTCACCTTTAGCACTTCAACTTGCCGAGAGGTGGCGGTGGCCGTGCTATCGTATTTACTAAAGTAAATATAAGTATGAACTGGTGTATTGACCCTCTTTCGTGGCGTTCTTCCACATTCTTGCTGAGTTTAAGTTGTGTGCTTGTACTGACTTACTCGGTTATCGCATTAAAATCAAGTTATTCTATTGAAAGCCCTATTTCTATAATGGCTAATGTCCACACCCAACTACTTGAATTATGTACCGCAAAACGTAAGTCGTGCTTAAAACTTGCACTGTCTGCACAACATCGATGCTAATTAATGTCCGTTTTACCTGGAAGCGGTGCTCACGAAGGCCAGACCTGGACGACTCGACGATTACATTCTTCTTGAATTTGAACGTCTCACCCACAGTGGGGTGGGAATATTTAAATGGTATTTGTGTGGCGTTATGTATGCCTGATTTACCTTAAAATAGTCTGCACGAAATACTCTGTATAACTTCACGAGGGCGTAGCTCAGAAGCTAGTGTGTTTTCTGTCTTAAGAACGAGGGGTTGCAAATTGTACCGAATGATCTTAAGATGGCTATTTCGGTTCAAAGCCCTACTCAAATGTGAAACACTCCCTTTAGGCAGTCACGGTTAGCACATATCCATACCTTTTTTCGCTTTTCACGTATATGCGATATGGCTCTCCACAAGTAATGGCTACATTGCAAGCATTTCAAGAAAGTCTTGGACCGGGCCTCGCCTCATGCTTTTGTGTTCCTCTCATGTGGTTGTGTCTCTTTACTTTGTTTCGCGCCTCTGTTCACGGGTATGTGCCCCTCCTCATGGTTGCATATGCTCCCTTATCGGTTTGTGCCCCTCCTCATGGCTTTGCTTCCCCTTCTTGAGGATATCCTGTATGCGCTCCCGAAAGTATCCATGTAAATGCTACGCGTCTTGCCCGAAAAACAGCGTGCGCTCCGATGCAGTATTGCAAATTGCCTGAGTCGCACTGACTGAACTCACATTTGGCCCTGCACTACTCATCGTCGTTGATCCTAACGATGTCATCACTCGAGATGAGAAATCGAAGGCTCTTATAGATGTCAGACAGCGTGATCTTGTTCTCATCGCCGAGTAGACTCACCGATTTGTCAACGACATCTGCAAACAGATTTCAACGTGATATAACACCACACATTCACCTATCGATCTATTTCATCGCGCATTCACCTATTCATTTTTTATCACGCATTCAAATATGCGAAGTAGAAAATGCGATATTTTATGCTATAAATCAAAAGTTGCACTCGTGGAAAGGAACGGTTCTCCTTTCCAACAGTGGGAATGCTCAAAACAAGGGTAAACAAGTTACTAAGTCTGCAAGAAGTGTCGTATGACGATATACATCTCCACCCAACAGCGTCTGTTGGACATTGTTATGGGCTGAGTGATCATAGTTATATAATCAATCATAGGCCCACGGAAATATCAGTGTCGTTACGCTTTCAGAACTGATCTTCTCACTCGAGGTATTCATCCTACCATGAGAAAATCCGTGAGCCAAGCTGTCTTAAGCGTGTAGTCACATGCTGCGTGGTAACACATATGAATATGGTCATTTCTGATGTAAAGCACTGCTCATAAACAAACATGCACATGCAGGGACGGTGCATGGTGTGGTCGCTTCAGTACGATGGAGAAAATAAATGAAAATGAGAAAATAAAAGAAAATGGGACTCTAAAAAAGAAAAGGCTGGGCAGATAGCACTTGGTTAACGAGCTCAAAAATTGGTCCAAACGACAGTGAAATGATGTGTATCATGAGTTAATGCATGGCGAATGATCAAATATATGTGGAGTCACTGATGCCTGGATCATTCGCAATGGTTTATGACGTCATTCTCTGACTTGATGACCTGGTGAGGGACGTCATTCTCCGGCTTGATGACGGTGGTTACTCACATAAATCGTACAAAACCGCCATCAACTTGGCCTCTGGGTACAGTGGTGGCCGGGAGTACTGAATGTTGAGAGGGAAATACGGACAAACGGAGACGATGAGTCACCCATAAACGGAGCGTATGCACCGCTCACCAAGAGCCACCTGTTACCCCATGGACGGAATGCACCCACCACTCACTGTAAGAAAGCTATCACTCCGTGGACGGAGAGTACCCACCACTCACCGAGTCCACAAAGCGAGCCGGGAGCAGCCGTCACCGTCAGATGCACGGTGTCTCGCGGCTGGACGCGGTCAGGCGACCAGTGCAGCGACACCTGGTTGTCCAGACAGCGCCCCGCAGCGTACGACTGGCTGTCCGCGATCACCTCACCATCAATCACCATGTAGACCAGGACTTGGAAGCCCGAGGACATGGATGACGTCACTGGGATCGCGAGGGTCACCTGACCTGTTGAAGCAGACCGGTTGGTGTTTCTCTACTGCCCGTGGCTCGCCGGTCACATGGGTAACAGCTGGATGATGACAGTATGTCAGACGCACAAACTGTTACGGGGCTGACATCTTGGTACAGACACGTGCAAACTCCAAAATGGCCATAGTTTTCTCACTCCTCAGTCATGCGCGGCATGATCAGCTGCGTGGTGTCATCGCCACTCCTTCAGCTATAATGTCCGTTATGTACCGTGTACTGTTATGTACTGTTCTGGGCCAGGCGCTTCATATGCGGCGGTGCTTGACTGTGTTGGACGCAGTGCGTGACGCTGTAACGGCGCAGAGCGATTTCCATAGCGAGTGCAGCAAAATCGTGCATCAACAAGATACTCAACTCAGGCCAGCTCTTAAATTACACGTTCTGCATCACAAACAGCCCAGTGTTAGGGACATATCTCGTACCGCTCCGTCTATCGTAACACTGATTAGGCGACCCAGCCGCACCAGCCGGTGACGCCTCACTCACCGACGGGATGTGACCCGGACACCGTGGGCAGGTCAACGACCCCGCCCTCCTGCAGTGCAGAGGCGTCGACCGCCTCGGAAAACGTCACCGGCACTAAGTCCGCCAGCAAGATGTCGCTGTTGGCCGTGACCTGACGCGCCCGGCGAACACAAGGTCAACACGCTTCTCTCACCGCAGGCCTCGGTTCTGCTTCGCGAGTTGCAACAGCGTGACCGCTAAAGGCACGTCTTCAAACAGTAGCAGGAGGATAAGGCTGTCCCCTTATCAAGCATAGCTACGACTGACGCTATTAAATAACGACGCCTGGAGTCTTAGCTTTTTTAAAATTGCAAATACCAGAACACTATGTCTGAGGCTTGATCCGAGTCTGAATGACATGAAGACGTTTCCCATTCACAGCACTACCCGAGCGTTCAGTTCTCTACAAGGAAAGTGCCTTATTTTACCTCCTGTGCATGCAGCATGACTTCTTTATTTGTAATTTTCGGATGCTGTCTGTGCAGTACACTCTCAATGTAGCTCACCTGGTAAAACAGCTCGAACTGCGATCCCAGACGGGTCGTGAAGAAGACGTCAATGTGGGCCTCAGCGCCGCACGTGAACTCCTTGCGGGGCAGCCGAAGCAGCTGCACAAAGGCTCCTGACTCAGAGGACCAGCCCGTGATGTCGTACTTGAGACTGGACGATTTTGGCGTCGTGGCCTGCACCGCCAGAGTAACCGGGCTGACATTCCATGGAAGTCTGACCGCGAGGTGGGCACGAGTAGCCGGTTGGTTACCCACACGTTAACGGTCACTGGAATGTCGCTCTCGCAGTGGTTAGATTTTACTGACTTTACATCACTGGCCTGAAAATGGTGCCGCTCATAGTGCATGTGACCGGCGAATGGTCAATAAGATACCGCAAGGTACGTCGTCTTTAAACCTGAGATCTTTCCACGATGCCATACAGATATAGATTGAACGGCACTGTTATTCAGAACTAAGGGAAAAGGCGCAATATCGCATTTCTCAGTTCGTAAAATGACACGTGCACGCACGCACGCGCGCAAGCACGCGCGCACGCACGCACACAAGCCGGCACACACGCACGCACGCACCCTCATCCACACACACATCACCCTTTGTATTACTACTACCGTCCTCATTTTTACTAGCTTACTGCATGACACTGAACAAAGAAGAGTGACTTCGAAAACTAGAAGAAGCATGTACATTTTTGACCAGTTACTTGCTTTGTCTCAGCAAAGGGTTGAACAGGGCATGTGCACGATTACATGATGAAGGAAAAGGGGAACATCTCAAAGATTTTGGCTGCTGACCTGGTCTAGCGCGCCGCAGCCACACAACATTTGTTACATGGTTTGAAACAACAGCGCGCATACACACTATGCTTATGGTTACGCCTCTGCACCTGGTTGTTCAGCGTTGACATTTAGTTGCACAGATATCAATGAATCACATGAGCGAGAGGCACAGGCCTCAGGAGCGCACCATGTGCGCACGTCCCTGGGGCCGATGTTAAACTGAACCAATCAAATGGGAGGCCTTGACTCCATCACCCGCCTCTCTTACCGTCTCAGATAATGGACGCTTTAAAGGAGATTTCAATTACCTGAATGGATATCTTCTCAATTTCCTGATCTTGAGGTGGCACAGTGAACGCGACCACGCCTCTGCTGTCAGACGTGATGTTCAGACAGACCAGATCGGCAGAAGACCTCCAAACGTACAGTTGTGCAGAGCTAGAGAGCATCACTCCCCGAGTTACTGGGAACTTCCCAGTCATTGGGAACTACACTCGCTTAACATGCGTATGTGCGACGTGACCACCGAATACGACATGCTTGGGTTGAAGGCGGGGTGAAGTTGACCTCCTGATATATCTCAAAGTAGGAAAGTTAGTGACACCAAATATGCAGGATGGGTAAGCATGTGTGTAAATTCACTCGTGTAAAATTGTGAGGTCCCGTTATGAACTGCGAACCAGATGTGATCAACCATTGTCAAACTTCAGATCGGTGTCCAAGATGCCCTCAGACTCCTCACGAAAGCCCGCTTTAGCCAAAATACTTGTTTTAACAGGCGCTCGGGTGCGGTCAATTTGACCCCGAAGGTTTTCCCAGACTGGTTTCCGAACGATGTGGCGCAGCCGCGCCAAATTGTGCACAACTGTAGACGATTGAAGAGCAGATCGTTTAGTATCAAATTTGGATGAACTTTGTAAGGTCACTAGCCTGAGGCGCGTCACAGCTAGGCCATGTATTCAACGTGGTAAATTTCTAGCGAATCGTTCTCATATCTGAGCTGATGACAACGGTAATCTTTGTATTGCATGATGCAACAAATGAGTGTAAGACGAAGCCATACGCCTCTGAGATACTTTCTTAGGCAACACAACAATTGAAAGAACAACTTACATTAACCTTGGTTTAGGTATGAAGGCCAGATCAATGTAAAAACCCACCTGTTATTACTCTAGGACTTGCTATACGAGGTAGTATCTGGTGCCCATTTGAAATTTATTGATAACAAGAACCGCATAATGTACCCTCCATGGACTTTGTAAGTTCAAAATAGGTCATTGACATAAAGTGACCCAGGTGAATATTTTTTTTTTTAGGACCAAACTGCCTAGCGTAATCTTTGTCGTTTATCCAAATGCAAAAAATCAAAGCATGATTGCATGATTTTGGCCACCATGACCTTCAAAAAGTCATGTCAAGTCACTAACCTTAAATGAAGATGTGAGCTTTTCTTAGAACAGGCATCTAGGTTTCGAGGCACTTTTTAGACCAACCTTGAAGTTTGACCTTGTTTGACCTTACTTGACCCAAACATCATGACCTATGTACCTCAAATTTTGATCTAAATGAGCTCTATACGGTCAAGGCACCGAGCCAATGACCTTTCTTGACCTTCAGAAAGTAACAGTGACCGGAATCCTACGAGGCTGTTGTGATCTTTTAAGTTAAATATGCATCAGGTGTAACGTCGTAAGGAATTTAGCCAACACGAATGCGTTGGTGGAGGTCATTTTAGACCTGTGACTTCCTTAGATCTTCTTTGAGTCGAATAAGAGGCCTCATGACGTCTCTGTTACCGCAAATGGAAAGTGAGCGTCACAAACTACCGCAAGAGACAAGCTTTCAAGTATAAAAGGCACAAAACAGTTTTGTTTTGACATCGATATGACCTTCAAGCCCGACCTTAAGTCCATGGAATTCATCGCCATTGTGAATTTACTTGTTTTATTGTCCAAAAAAACCATCTCATGTGTATGCGAATTCGTCCAACACTCCGTTGTCGCATCAGATTGAACCATTCACCAGGACCTGCCTTCGCTGAGTGATGACCTAAATTTGACCTGGTGTAGGTCAGGTACCTGACAGCTTATCAATGCTTTTACACCGAGCAATCGACTAGCAAATACCCTGCAGTTGCGCAAAGTATGACGCTGCTTTGTAACGCTGTTCAAAAGTCAGCCTAGAAAACCGTTCAGAGGTTAGGTTGACCACCACCCAAACCACGTCCTTTCTCTATTAAACACGTCTATTGTCTGTTATGTATATATCTGTACGTACCGAACTCTAGAACTATCAGCTACTTCAAATTTCACGAGGACTGGAAGATGATTAGTTCATTTGCTTGTGCCGGTCATTTACATTTAGTAACTTTTATTTCAGCGATGGTCAAGCCTCAAGTTAGATGCGGGTACTCCAGCCAAATTCCTAACCCCAACGATTGCTTGATATCCTCACCTCATCGGTTTTTTTTGGGACATCGGAGTTGGGTTATTTTCTGCAAGATAGCTTACAACACCCAAGCATCAATACACTTCTGTTTGTGAAACTCTTGACAGGAGCACTGATAACGCTTAAAAGCACTCACGTGGTGCTGATTCCGTCCTCTGTCGTCGTCCAATGGGTCTCAAAACACAGCTTGACCAGCTCGCCGGGAGCTGGTGTGCTGTCCGGGTGGCGTACCCTGATCTGAACGTGGAAGCAGACACAGCCGAGTTAGGGACGGAGCCAAGCACTTCCAACTACACTCGACACAGCTGCGGACGCGGGGAGGGGGGCTGACCCAGGATAAGGTCACAAGGTCCCATTTCGGGCGTTGAAATAATTGTGGTAAACAAGAGACCCCGGATACTTTGCGTTAGTATTGATACGGTTGCGGTATCTAATAACGCGCTGAGTCGCAATGCAGCACAAGATTCAACGGTCCCCATCTGAGCACCGAGATCAACGTATCAATACCACAATTAAAAGAGTAGTCCTGCGGACCATTTACAAGCCTGCTGCAAGTCACGAGCACATTACATTCGAAAAAGGAAAGATAGAGAAGAGAGAAGTGCGAAGGCAAGAAAGAAACAGAAAAATAAATCAATTATGTTAAGAGAAAAGCTCGGACAGCGTAATTGCCGACCAACCAATCTTCTTTCGTGTTCTCCCAATATTCTGGAGAGCCTAGCATTGAGAAAAATTTGCTCTTATAACAAATAAAACAAAATTCTCTGTAGGAAACTGTAAGGACACAAAGACACCTAATCCAAATTGAGGTCGCACATGGCGCATCAATGTTAATGCACACTGAATATGAATGAATCAATCACGTGTCTGTGTATGAATGTCTCCAAATATTATAGCAATATTCCACATGCTGGTAATATGAAGTGCAAAGTTCATTGCGGCCCCGTCGGTGCCCTCTTGGCATGCTTCAACTGGCGTCTTAGCCACCGGAACCGACTGTTCACTTCGGTGAAGGTCATTGAGAGCCCAAACCATCCCTGCTGGCTGCACTCAGGCTAAGGACAAAATACGATAATGCCATTTTCCACGTGGACAGTGTCTCTCTGCATGTCTCCATCCACATATCAGTGAGGAATCTAAACTTTTTTTTACAACACGACCTCGATGCCTTCAAAACAACTTTGCGTTCAGTGGGTTTGGCACACACGCACTCAATTAGTGAAGGGAAGTCCTGGCTTAAAATAATTGCTTCTCAAGTTGTCAGTCTCGAGGTTCAGCTCCTGGTATGCTATGGAGAACGTCTTGGTGCCCTTGATCGTGACTTCAGTGCCATCCTCTGTGAGTTCGGCGGTGGCCTCCAGCCTGTAAGGCTTGTCCAATGTTTTTCCGAAGCCGAGGTCACTGCCGCTGACTCGAAACACGGCACAGTCGGCCCCGGACGTCTGTCAAAGCGTTCACTGGAGTCAGACGGAGCCGCACCAGTCAGTGGCCGTCTGGGGGACGTCTCAGCATGCAACACGGTCTCCACGGGTGGCCAACCAAGGCAGCTTTATATGACGCAGGTGCTGGTATGCTATGCATATTGCGGCATCCATGCATATCCTGCGCCACTGAAGAAGAGGCGGATAGTTGACGGTACGTCATGAATTAAGGCGCTGGCGTAAAACTTCAAAAGTTTTAAAGCAAAAAAACCGATTGCTCACGTATTGTCGGTGAAAACAGGTTTATTTCAAAGACGTAAGAAGCATGTCCTGCCAAAATTGACAAGAATGTGGCATATATTGTTTTGCTCAATAGCATAAAGTGACTGCTTAAAGTGACTAGCCTAAAGCAAAGTGCCAAGCTCGAGCTAGGTAAATTTTAACTGACCGGACCTCATCTCACAGCGAGGGGTGACCCAAATGCTATGAATGCTGGCAAGGCTCCCTAAAGAATTCGAAGTATACTTAAGGTAGTCTTGCGATCGACCCCAGAGCTACTCAGTAAATTGTTGGGGATTCTTGAAGACCTTTAAGATCTGGGAGGTCCCGAGATGTCAAGGACACAGTAACATAAGGCTACTGGATACGATTATCTCTCTCTCTCTCTCTCTCCTCTCCATCTCTCGTTCTCTCTCTCTCTTCTCTCTCATCCTCTTTCTCCTCTCTTCTCTCTCTCTTTCCTCTCTCTCTCTCTCGCTCCACTCTTCCTCTCTCCCTCCTCTTCTCCTCCTCTCTCTCTCTCTCGCTCTCTCTCTCTCCTCTCTCCTCTCTCTCTCATCGACCTCTCTCTCTCTCTCTTCTCTCTCTCTCTCTCTCTCTTCTCTCCTCTCTCTTTTCCCCCTCCTCCTCTCTCTCCCTCTCCTCTCTCCTCTTCTCCTCTCTCTCTCCTTCTCTCTCTCCCTCTCTCTCTCTCTCTCTCTCTCTCTCTCTCTCTCTCGTTTGCATTTGATGGTAAGACCACGCTTGCACTTATGTGCCCATCTCGGGTAACCTCCTAACCATGATCAAAACCAGAAGAAACACGAATCGTTGCATTCCCTTGCACCGGCTTGTCGTAGGTGTACCTAAAATTGGTTGCAGTATTCTTACATCGAACCTAATGTAAACAACTTTCGAAAAGCACTTGCAGCTAATGGACTAACAAAGACATGCATCTACAGACAGCACAATTATAGGACGAAGTTATCACCATTTTAGATGTTTGTAAACGCAGGAATCCATGTCACCACACATACGCCTCACACTAATGCGGTACGGATCAGCAGCCGGTTCAGTGGGTCATCGGCACAGTATTCACAAGGGGTAAACGAGTACGCATGACGCGAATGTCCACCCGTCAACGGCGTCCACAATACATCTCGGAACATGACACTTGGCACCCACCTTCCGCACACCTTCAACGTCACTTCCTCGGCATCATCCAGAATGAATGAAGGACCCTGGATGTTGACCTCGAACCTGGGCAGCACAAACTCCTCAACCTTGAATGGCTTTGTCACCCTACGCTCGCCGCTTGTCGCTACGTGTATGTTCCATTCACCCTGCAAACAACGAGGCGGGGAGTAGACAGACTTTCAGACTTTTCAGACTTAGGGAACAGACTTTCGGGCCACCAGCCAGACGGCACAGGAGATCCCCCGCGGTGATATATCGACAGATTGTTACGCACTGAGCAGCCTTGCATGCTAACCCTGCAGTGACTGCATGGCCTCTCCAAGAGATAAAGCGTTTTGAGCCAAGCTGGAAGCAACCAAACCAAAATACCAAATGTGGCATGGTTTAAGCATGTTTGACTGAAGTATTTGAGTAAAGATATTGACAGCTCCAAATACATGGAAATCTAAGCAGCATAGACAATAACTTCCTTTTTCTGCAATAGGATCTTACAGATGGTTTAAATCTATATTTAGTTATCAACACGAATGTTACAGGCCTTCAGTATACCAGGGCATGCCGATTAATCAAAGGTATTAGCACGCCAGTGGAATGTATTGCAAACTCTGCACATGTTTATCCACCAAAGTACCTTTGTTGGCCGAACCATTGTCTTCCGATTCACCCATCCGTGGCGGAGGGTGATCGAGCTCCTGCCCCTGACCTGGAATTGCCCTTTTGGAGGGTGGGGTGGCTGCCCCTCCCCCTGTCTCCAACTCCCACTGGCGACACATCGCTGAAGGCAGAAAATCGCTTGCATGTGTAATTTCATGATTGCTTAAAATCCATTCCACTCGACGACATGTTCCGTTATCCCATAACGTCTGGTAGAGGGACATCAAGCACCAATGTTCCGGCGTAAAGGGAAAAAAAGATGTCAGCGCCCTTAACTGTGTAATCATACTATGCAGTCGTTTTAAACATTACGTCACACATCAGGTTTTAAATACATTACGAACCAACAGAAGCTTGGCATCAATGTTGATACAGTCTTTGTGAACTACTGATTTCCTGGAAAATTCTGGAACAGAAATTCCATATCTGATATGAACTTGCTATGGACCGGTAGAAACTGAACATGCATATCAAAGTAATCACTCAGAGCACGCGGCCTTTGAAGACCGCTGCTACCGCGCGGAAGTCTACGCCTCTGTACGCTGATCGAGCATATATGCTATGCTGATCTTATCCATGTTTCAGTGACTTACGTCATGAGTCAGGTAAACGACGAAATGATTATACCTAATGTCTTGTCTTATCATATCGGCATGTCTCGCATAAATCACTGATTAGGCTTGGTGCAGTTACATCTTCACCATTTTGAGGGAAGCATGGCGACTTTCATGATCTCAGTGGCATTTAAAGCTCAATTACAGTACGTGAATCAAAATTTTCGGACTGTAACATCATGCATGCCTCGGTCATCAGTTTCGTGTACTGAAGCATCTGGCCCATACAACATACTGTATCTGGAGTTGATCCGTCATCCAGGATTTGTAAACTTCTACTCTATCACTTTACGTACCTTCAGAATTACGGCTCGAATTACGATAGATTTAACCATATACCGGCAAGTTCTAAAACCCTGTTGCTTAGCTAAGATATTTGTGGACTACATCCATTGCTAGCGGAAAACAATACTAAGTATAAATATGTAAGGAGCCGATACTTTATAGCAACCACATTCATCATATAATAGTGCGGCGAACTCACACGCAACACCGAATATGGTTTATGAGTGGGCATCATGATTTCGAAACAGCTGTATTTAAACAAATATACAAACGAAAAACAGCGCAGCTCCGTTAATTTCTACCACAGCCCGTAACCGACAAGCGAGATGGTAAACACGAGTGGCACTTTGTATACATCATGACTCGCTCAAGCTCCTCCCCCCCCCCCCCCCCCCCCCCCCCACCCACCCGCATAGTAACCACGCTGTTCGCCGGACACGTTACGTCTGCACCTCTATCACTCACACTGGGTCACATAGGACTGGGTTCCTCGACCAGCTGCATCTCCAAATGTAGCACTCACCACACTGTGTTCATCGGCCAGCCGCATTTCTCCAGCTGCACCACTTACCAGACTAGGTCCATCGGCCAGCTGCATCTCCAGCTGCACCACTCACCTGGCTGGGTTCATCGGCCAGCTGCATCTCCAGCTGCGCCACTCACCAGAATGGGCTCCTCTGTCCGCTGTAACCCCAGTTGCACCACTCACCAGACTGGGTTCCCCGGCCAGCTGCATCTCCAGCTGCACCAGCCCGCTCTGACCAGTCACATTTGTCCACTGCGCCACCCTCGTCCCGGCCGGCGATTCGATGTAAATCTGCGGCAACTGAAGACAGTGGGAAGAGAGAGTCAGCTCAACCAACTGGCTGGGTGACCGACGGACACTTGGATAGCGTAGTGGGATATGACACCAATAACGCACGGCTAGGGGATAATTAATTCAGTTACGCTAATGACCTTACTACCGGCATGCATTAACCGGGGGCATGAAGAAGTATGATCCTGCTTGCACTGCGCGTGTAAGAACCGCCAGGCCCCGCCAGTCTTCCGAGTTCATGGGACGGGGGTGGTATATATATATATATATATATATATATATATATATATATATATACATGTATATAATACGGTCTATTATGTTTAGCCATGTTTAGCCAAGTCATGCAGATAGTTTCCCAGGCAATGAAACAATTCAAGTCAGAGTTAAGGCCGATTACACTAGGCCAGAGTTACGCATGTACGCCGGACCGAGGTCAAAATAGCTTGCTTTACTCAAAAGGTTGCTGTATGGGGTGGTTTCTGCTGCTCCTGTTCATTTACCAATCACAGGAGGAACAGCAGCCGTTTTCCATGGACTTGTTAAAGGTCTGGTCAAGCCACTGACCCCAAATGTCTCAGGTCATTTTTTCTAGGAACATACCACCTGGCGTAATTCCTGACGTTTATTCCGATGGTAAAGTAGAAACAATGTTGTAGGTTTTTCGCTCTCTTAGTTTTTTGAGATTGGCCCCCGCCGGACCAAAGAGACTCTCTCTCTCTCTCTCTCTCTCTCTCTCTCTCTCTCTCTCTCTCTCTCTCTCTCTCTCTCTCTCTCTCTCTCTCTCTCTCTCTCTCTCTCTCTCTCTCTCTCTCTCTCTCTCTCTCTCTCTCTCTCTCTCCCTCTCTCTCTCTCTCTCTCTCTCTCTCTCTCTCCCTCGAGCATTCAGCTTGCCTTTCATGAGCTTTTGGCCTTTAATAAACTGACAACACGTCTTTTCGACTACTTCAGAACAAGAAAAAGTCGCTTATGCCGGAGACGCCCGACCACACGCTGTAACTTACCGGCTCCGAAATCGGCCTCAGTTTCCCGTTGACGGAGAGGACGCGGAAGCGGACCACCTGTCCCGGCTTGTACACGTACTTGTCTGTCTGAATGAAGACATGATCTTCAGGCGCGTTGTTCGAGCTGAAACGAGCGGCATTCTTCTGTGTTGCCAATGCTTTAATAATAACAAATTGTATTGCGGGCGAATGTATTTTGGTTCAATGTTTTAGACTTAATAATCGAATCCGGTACTTAAGTGCGCACACATCACGTTTGTGAGCCGGGAAGGCGGACATCAGAGTACGGCTACCATGCAAACCTAGCTTCACCTTCAAGACAACACTTGCATTTAACGACAAACATCAAACACGCATGCTACACGATCGTCCATTGGTCACACACTATACACAGATGAACTCGTTATACGCTGTTACCAGCATTATGGTACTCTCCAGCCGTGTATACACCCGGCTGTGGTGCCAGATCTTCCTTTCAAATGAAATGTTGAATTTTCGCACCTTGTGTCACAAGAGGTTCTGTCTTAAGAAAAAGCCTTGTTTGTAGATTAACACGTGCACGGGTGGGGGTCAAATTTTTCCCACCGAGGGTTTTCCTAAATGGTTTCCAAACGGCACGACGTAGCCCTGCCAGATTTGGACTGGCTGTAGACATCTGAATAGTGGATTGTGTGGTATCCAAAAACTGGATGTACCTTGTAAAGCCGCTGACCTGAGGTAGGCCAATGTCAGATTATGAATTCAGCGAAGTCAATTTCAAGGCAATCGCTTAACATGATGAAATAACGGAGTGCTAGACAAAGCCATGCATCTCTGAGATAACTTCATAGGCAACATGACAATTGTATGACCAAATTAAATTGACCTAGGGTCAGATATGAAGGTCACACTAAGGCCAAAACCAATCTGTTTTATTACTCCAGGGCTTGCTGTTTGGTGTAGTTTTTAGTACATGATATGAACCGCATTAGACATCTTGCAGGGACTTCTTATAGGTCGGAATAGGTCACTGACCCAACACGACCCATGTCAATGTTTCGTTTTTAGGAACATACTGCCCAGCTTAATCGTTGCCGGTTATTTAAATGTATAACCTAAAGCAGTTTTCTGTGTTTAGGGTCACCATAAAATTCGGATCAAGCAGTGTCACTGACCTTGAATGGGCACGCGATCTTTTGCTTAGAACAGGTATTTGAGTTCTGGGGACACTTTGGATAGCAACTTTGAAATTGACGTTGTTTTGACCTTACTTGACCCAAATGTCACAACCTAGGAGACTGAAACTTTGACTTAATTTAGTTCATGTACAGGCCAAGACATCCTGTAAATTTGGTGGTCCTAGCTCTCTTAGTTCCTGAGATCTCAGGGGGCAAACTGACCCCTCACCCGAGCGAAGGTTTTCCAACCGGCCGTCCGGGAGCGTATTCAAGTGCATCAAACAACACATCGGCGTAGCTGTAGCCCTATCATTTCTGCAATATACACGCTGATTTTTGACGAACGGAGAAACACGTGCCAAATCATCCTTGGTAGGCCAAGACTTTACACCAAAAATGTGTTTCGCAGTGTTCATAAAGAACAATATGTTTAAGTATCCACATATGCACTAAACAATTTGTACGACGCCTTCAGTACACTGTAGTGACTAGACACTTTCTTTGACTTACAAGACAGAGATGTACTGATTTCCCGAGATGGTGTAGTTGACGGCGGATGGGTAAGTAACTTCCAGACCCATCCACATGGTGAAATCGTCAAGCTCTGGTGTTTGAACCTCAAAGCATGTTTCCTTGGACCCACCTGAAATACGGCATCGTGTTAGCGACACGTGTATCTGAACACCGTAGGGTGGATGGGGGCTTAACGAAGCCATGCTTGCGCGAGGAGCCGCCGGTTTCGCTCCAAGACGCTGAGCCGACTGATGGGTGGCGTGGCCAGGAAGCGCGCTCATGGAGACAGATGGTGTGGCTGGCCTCGCCGTCACCGGATGGGTACATTCAGATCGGTCAGTGGTGACGATGTCAAGCACTTTGTCCACTCGCCGAGAGAGCGAGCAGCGACCGATGATCTCCGGTCGGGCTCGTGCACTGCTGTGGTGTTATGTCTCCAGTTACAAGAAACAGGCATATGCACACGAGGCATTCCTTGCCAACACGCCGGCACTATCAACACGTGTGTTTACTGACTTTGAGCGTCAATGCATACCCTGGGGGTGCAGTGGCATATCTGAAGCTGTGAACAGTCGTTCATTATGATAATCAGAGTGCCCAAAAACATCAAGCACGCTTTCTGACTTGGTGGCCTGATTAGAGTGGTTGAGGGCGCTACATGTGCAGTGTCTCCCAATATAACATTATCCTTTCGCATGTCTCTAAGACGTTACAAGGGCGACCAAAGCTCTTCAACCCCTGTTATGACTTTGAGTGCTGCCTATCATAATGTTGTATTAATGCCGGCGAACGGATTACAATAGTTGCCAGGCGTTAAGAGATTGGCAGAGCATTTGCTAAAGGCGTTGATATACAGCCCGGTGTTGTGCCCGACACAAATATATCAGGCCGAATGCCACAAAGATAAGATCTTCACAGAAACTCTCATTAGTTACTTTGGTTTTCAGCTTTATTCTTGAACTGTGAGTGTGCACCGTGCACCCAGAAATGCCCTTTAATCAGGAAGACATATTGAGAAAGCTCGACACGGCCGTAACTAGACTTCTCTCGCTGTTGAGACCAGTGCAAACGGCATCGGTACCCAGCTCAGACTAGGTAGTGAGTGACAAGCTGTGGCCTCACACGTGGTCACGAGGTCCCTGGGCCGCCACACCCCGGCTCCGTACTTACCCGCCACGCCCGACACCTGCTGGGTGTGCTGTGCGAACGTCGGGCTACTCTCACTTCTCCTGAACGTCAGCGTCAGGTTGCCGGTCTCGGGCACGTCGAACAGGGTCAGACACACCCGCTCAGGCGTGCCGGCGAAGAAGGCTTTGGGCGCTGTGAACAGGTACCGGCTGCAACAGCGGACCAACGCTACTGTCAAAGCTGGAACAGCTGGCCAAGCTGCTGTTGACATAGACGGGAGCGCTGATCTCCAAAAACCGCATGACGTCATGCACGATGCGTTTGGTGCAATCCTTGCGTTCCATTGGGCAGTTTCACAGTATTGTATGAGCAAAATAAAGAAACGGGTTCCCACCTAACAGACTGCATTGATTTATTGCACGTATTGCATTTTAAGGTTAGTGATCACAACCTTGGTATTTCATTTTGCCAAATGTTGGGATAACCCTTTTGTAGCAGCTCATGCGTGTAAAATATCATTTCACCTAGTCGTTTTATCATCAGGGAAAACATGTTTGAACGAGGTCCAAAATATAATATTAACTTACGTGCAAGCAGTTAGGATGGGCAAATGATAGGACTGGAATGTGTTGAAACAGTTTCGGAAGGTGGTTGTTGCCGTGCGCGGAGGCTATGCAGCCCTCGAAACTAGCACTTGCTGATAATGGCAATGGTGGTGAAATGATACGGTTCTGATTCGTTCGAAACGCGTTCTGCCCTCAACTTTGATCTCCGGCAGAAATTGCAGCAGCGACCTCCATGCTGGAAAAATATTTTACCGGCCTTGTGCGGCATTATTCACAAAGAGCTTTCAATAACGATACAGTTATTAGGGTTTCATTTCCGCACCACTTTGTCTAAACTTATTCCGAACCCCGAACGTTTTACTGCTAACCATGTGCCTTCATGCAATGCGCTTGGCAAACGAAAAGTTTTGCGTCATTCGCTTTGGCCGCTCGCCGACAACCTATGCGAGTTCGGCAGACATTTCACAAAATATCTTTGTTCAACCCAGACGGCATGGTCGTTGCACTTGCGTTACAAAACCAAACAACTATAACTATAATGCATGCAATATGCGATACCAAAACAAGAAAAACCCTCTACTTGAACAAAATTTTAGTATGATGCACTGTCTTCCATTAAACGCATTATTGACCAATCTTCATTGTGTATGAATGTGATTATTTTCGCAGTTTTTTTGCGTTACTCTGTTGAACATAACAAAGCCAAACTTGGACGTGCTCAGCTCAACGAATGCTGTCATATGCGAGCCAGAAATCCTTTTTTGCGATTCTTTACGATTCGGTTCTTCACAAAGGATCACCTGGTAGCGAAACCACGTTCAATATCCCTCATCGCATCATTGTACATAGCTGCCACCGTGATGGCCTGGAAGAGGCTGTGTTCTTAATCTAGTGGCACCCGCCTTAGGTCTCAGGGCAGGCCCACTGTCTGGCCCGATCCACGAAGGTCAGTTGGCTGCTAGCCAGAGAAGGTCACCCTGACACGGCGCAGCCGCCCTGTTGACATTGCACGGCACGAGGAAATGCCTCGGTCGCCGTTTTGGCCCTCATGGTCTGCAGACCACTTGCATACCACATGCAAAAATATCCGCTGAATCTGAACCACTCTATGTGGGTGGATTGGGAGTGTGGTCACTGCGTTCGGCTCTGAATGCGCTCTGAGCTCAAAGGCACCTTTCCATATCACCTCAGAGCTTCCACACAATGAATTGCACAGAGCACCACCTGTGCGCTGTGCGAGTCATTCGATTGGCAATATCTTTTGCTTTTTTAATTCATCTATGCCCGACTCCTAGGCCCGGAAAGGCCACCGACATCGCCTGCCTAACGCCCGTTTTGTTACCAAACGGGAATAACGCGAGTGAAGTCGCATGCACCGCATGCAAGAATGCTGATTAAACCAAGACCCATGGCCATTCTTCGTCAGATCTATTCGGAGAATTCCATGGGGATGTGCCGATCTCTTTTCCGCACACCGACCGGCCGGGCCTCGAGGTGTCGGGCCTCAGGAACGTCTTTGGTCCTTCGTGTGCTGGCGAACTACTTCAGGAATCTGCATGCTCTGCATACTAAAAATTATCAGCCAAAAAGTAACCAACGGGGAGCCCGGGCGAGCACGTGCGGCCCCACGCGGACTCGCGCGCTCGCCGTCGCGTCTGCTGGATTCCGATGCTCGGCAAGGCCCCCCCCCCCCCCCCCTTTCCTCCTGGCCCCATCCCCTCCGACCGGAGACGATGGTCTCCACCGCAGCCGTCTGGTCGGTATCAGCGCTGCGGATGGGCAAGCAACAAACACCCGCTCCACCGCCGACCGGGCTGTGGTGGAGCGCTGGTGCTGGCCTGCCATTTATTGGGCACCGTTTAATGGATCAGGTTCCAGTTACACTGGCGACATTATTACGAGTAACAACACAGGCTCGTGAGTTGGGCCAACCAGATTGGGCTCTTATGGCATAAGCTAACCGTCAAAAGGTCGGCCAGCTAAGCTTTCCATGAGCTTGTAATCTATGCAACGTCTGATCGCAGCCCTCAGCAATGATTAGCGCAGCTATGATGTGCGTGCTGTAGCATTTCCAAAGTATTGGCCAGCAAGTCTTTAGGTAGCGCTGTCGTGCATTATTCCATGCCAGCAGATATTAATTTCTCGACAGACTCTATAAGCATGGAAAATATACCCCGATTTAGTTAAAAACAAGGGTGGAAAACAAGTGCAGACATCGCCAAGACGAACACTCTGACCGAGCTGAAGACGGGCAAACGCATTGGCGAGTCTCGCGCAAAATATCAGGTACTCTCGCGCGCAAACTAGCAGGTACCATCGCGCGCAAACCGCGCACCTTCCAGTTTGGGGGCGTTTTTATCAACCGAAGTCAGGTGCTTCGACCGGAAAGGATGAACACGTGAAACCAACGGTTTTATGTGCACGTCTTAAGCCAATGTACAGGCTACGAATCACATATCAATCTCAAAACTGTTCTCCACACAGGCGCGCCAGTGATCGACCCAAGAAACGGGCAGTAAACACCTTTTTCCAGACAGGTCGTGAATAAGATTCACTGTGGTTTAAATCGAGAGGGATCCGGCCATATCAACTACGCGCGCTAAGCATGATTCTGACTTGTATCAGCCAAAAACAGCCGTGCTTGAGTAATGATTTGACCCCAACTTCCAAAACCAGAAGTTATTCCAAATTTTACGAATTGCATCGATTAAAATTGCCAGGCCTTGGCAGCTAAAAACTAGCCAAAACACACTGATGGCAATACATTTTTGCACGGAAGTTATACATCATTGCGTCTTTTTCTGCTAAGCTCATGGAGGAGAAACGTTTCAACGCATTAGTTGGTATGAATTCCCGAAGGGGACAGAGTCCATGCGCCTTTTGGGACATCCTCAGCGTGGTGATAACACTCATATTAGTCGCACCTCACGCGTATGACGCCGCAAAAGCGCATACTAGTTAGTGGGTTCATCTGGTGTCGCCGCAATTTTGTGCTGTTTATTGAGTAATGATGGACCGCCAGCTCTGCTGTCTTGGTATTATCATAGCTGTATTCTTACCTTGAACCGTGTTCACTATTAGGGCGGTTCAAGACGCACTGTTTTGGCGCGGGTGCGCGCTGCAAGGGTTCGTAGAGCATTCAGAGAAGCTGCCAGAGCATATTCAAGTACAGCAGCACAGCGATATGTGAAATGAGGAGCAGCGAGAGACGATGGTCTGATTTTGGATGCACATCGGCAGCGTGGCATAATACGGCTTTGTGTGCACGTAGTACGAACGCATTCGCCAGCTTGTGCTCCATGCTCGTAAGCGTGGCCAACATCATGTGCTGTGAGGAGTCCCCTATTGCGGTGCGTTCACCGTTCGCGTCTCTCGCCCAGGTGTCATGTCAGGTGCGTAGTACCGTACAATGCACGTGACAAGTGCCCTACTTAGAGCGCGCTATCATATACTCAACAAGCGGTTCCCCAAGTGCAGCTGGCACGAGGCCTTCTTCCACGCGGTCAGTGCAGCTGAAACGTTTTCACAAGCATAGGAACGGCTACTGAAACCTCTTAAAAACTTCCACAAAAATGTATAAAAAACTCCAACGTGTCACACTTAGTTCAGAAAAATTACATGTGTAGTATTGAGCCCATCCCAATACACAGGAAATAATGCCCACTGGTTCACTTATCTTGTGCATCGCTGAAAATATTTAGATCTCTGCTCACTTGTAGCAACAGTGCATATCTACAGACGGCAGTGTGGTGTCACCTTATCCAGCCAAGCAAGTATTGTTCCTGTCGTGATAAGGCAGCAAAGCGCATGCTGATTTGTACCCCAGATCACAGGATGGATTCTATGACAGCCCGAAAAAGCATGGCATGGAATGCTGTGAATGAATCAGTTTTAAATGCACATACAAAAATGGCAAACTTTCCTCGAGGCTTGAACCCGCGCAAATATTTTGCTACACTCCTGTCCAATTGTCCTGCTCTGATGATCGGCCCCGAGGATGGAAGAAAGACATAGAGGGTTCGCTTACCGCCCGGCAGCCACTACACCACACAGGAGAAGCAGCCGGAGAGGCGTCATTGCCGCCCTCCTGCGACGACGGGGAGCCGTCCAGTGACGCTGCAGCGCCGCCGTCGCCTTGTTACCTCGCCAGACGGTAGGTGGCACTGGATAAGGGCGACCTCCGTCAATCTAGCAGCAGATTGATGTCCAATTGCCAGTTGGATATTGCGGGATCTCCGGGATGTCCGGGATATCCGATTCCGGAATATCTAACTGGTGATTTTCGGAATCAGCGTGTCAAGAAGGTCATGCACACCAAATTTGGAGGCAATCGTGACGCCTCTTGATATCCGAGTGCCAATTGAATGTAAATCTGCTGCTAGGTTGACGGACGTCCCAAGGGCAGTGATTTAAGGAATCAGCGTATTAAGAAGCCCTTGTTCACCGAATTTGGAGGCAATCGAGACGCCCCGGAATATCACATTGGGATGTTACGCGTCATATAACTCGGGAATTACGCAAAATTACACCCCAGAGGCGGTGATTTTCGGAATCAGCGTGTCGAGAAGGTCATGCACACCAAATTTGGAGGCGATCGTGACGCCCCAGAATATCCAACTGGCAACTGGATATCAAGCTGCTGCTAGATTGACGGACGTTAAGGGCGGGGATACACCGGCGCAGCGCGTGTTCGGTATTTATGGCGTTGTTACAAGACCGCCTGGCACCGCTCGCACGGTGACGTCAGTGGGCAGTGCGCCAGCAGGATGTGCCAACGGGACAGCAGGAAAACCCGGGTGGCGTCTCTATTCATATACCAAAAAACATCCTCCGGCCTGTGCTTCCAGGAGACGAATTACCACAATCTCAACGTCAATAAAGCCGCGCCGTCCAGACATATCCAAGCTCTTAGTATGTGTACATTAACGCCCACCTTTGACCTGACCTTTCACGTCCTTATCCGTGAGCGTGTTTATGCAGTTTGGTCCCCAGCTGCAAGCACCAGTACATGGATGGCACGGCCAACATTGAAGCCAGAGAGGCATCCGGCTGAAGGCGGAGCCTAAATTCAACCACGGCGTTGATCATTATATCGATTTAGTGGTAAAGTCGGGATAGATTCGACCCATTCCTGTCCTTTGCGTTGGCGATTATATCGATTTAGTGGTAAGGTGGGGATTGATTTGACCCATTCCTGTCCTCTGAACCCGGCTTTAGAAGATATTTTCTCTGCTCTAGAGCTGGTTTCTACTGCGTAAGTTGGCCAAGAATCTTGCTATTTCTGCGTTGTTTTCGTTGCGTTTTCTTTGACCGTTTTCGTTTTGCGTTTTTTTTCACTCTAAACGCAACTTTCTGAGGTGCTGCCCCTCCGCCTCCCGCCCGCCCACCAAACATGGGTTACGCGGCAAGAGGAAGGGCATCACTGTCACGGACTCAAAATCGGCCTAAGTCATTGATGCTGACCTGGATGTCAACAGCATTGATGCTCCCCCGGATGTCGTCGACGGTATTGATACTCCCCCGGATGTCGTCGACGATATTGATGCTCCCCCAGATGTCGTCGACGGTAGCGATGCTTACCTGGATGTCGTCGACGGTAGCGATACTTACCTGGATGTCGGCGACGGTAGTGATGTTCACCTGGATGTCGTCGACGGTATTGATGTTCCCCGGATGTCGTCGACGGTATTGATACTCTCCTGGATGTCATTGACGGTATTGATACTCCCCTGGATGTCATCGACGGTAGTGATGTTCCCCTGGATGTCGTCGACGGTAGCGATGCTTACCTGGATGTCGTCGACGGTAGCGATACTCCCTGGATTTCGTCGACGGTAGCGATGCTTACCTGGATGTCGGCGACGGTAGTGATGTTCACCTGGATGTTATAGACGGTAGTGATGTTCATCTGGGTGTCGTCGACGGGTGGCGATGCTTACCTTGATGTCGACGATGCTAGTGTCGCTAGCCCTGACGTGATTTCCTATTTCAGCCCATGACTCCAGCACCCTCAGACCTCTCCTCTGGATCCCGCACCCCCGCCGTGGTGGCGTGACGTGATTCAACTGGACGTCATGCAGAAGCACAGGCAGAGGACATGTGCCCCGTGTACGTGTTTCGAAGAGCCCGTAGGGCTTCTCGGGACCTACGATTAACGGCCCAAAGACCGGCCGAGGTCTTATTCGGGGGCCCGGCCCGAAGGACTGAGCACGTCAATACCATCCACAGGGCCAACCGCGTTGATCAGGGGCCCGCTGGGTCAATAAGGGCCCACATGTCGGTCAGGCACCACCAATAACGCATAGTCGGCTACGCGTCTGCATGGGCCTGTTGGCCAACTCGCTAAGCAGGGACGAAGCGAGAGCCAGAAATTTAGATTGGTCGGGACCCAGTGCCTATCAGGACCCCACCAGCCCTAATACGGAGTCCTGTGTTGGTAAGGGACCCCGAGTCGGCCGAGACAGTGTTCAAGCAGGCCCGAATGGCTGGTCGGATCTTATTCAGGGATATCAGACCACGGGGACGGGCCCTCAGATGACAGACAAAGGCCTTTGCGCCGATCGCGGACTCTCTGAGTCCATATGATCCTATATGACGGTCAGGCACCGCCTAATACCCGATCAATGTGCAAAGCCACGGCCAGCGATTTACACTGCTCGGGGGGGCAACCTGTATGTGCTAGGGGCCCGAAGTACCTAACACAGGGTCCTGTGTTCGCTAGGAGCCCCGAACCAACCAAGGTCAGTGTTTGATAAGGCCCGAAGAGAGGCCCGGGCAGCCCATTGGAACTGACGATCGATGGCTCGCTTGGAGAAGATAAGAACCCGAAGGACTGGGTGTAGGCCACAAAAAGAGTTGCGACCGATAGTGTCCTGACCTGAAATATCAGTCGACATCCTCCTGGACAGTTTGTATGTTCCCTGAGAAAATGCGGGTCCCAAGGGGGCCATGGTCTCCAGTGGTCATGTGCCGGCTTATGGCCCGGAGTCGGTCAAGGCTTTATTTGAGGAAGTCCAAAGAGGGGCGGAAGGGTCCCTCACCACCAAAGATCAGCGACCCGATTAGAGGGCTGAAGAGCCTAAAGCGCTCTCTGTAGGTCACATTAAGGACCCCCCGCAGATAGGACCGTGATGACAAACATCAGTGAGAGGGTCCTTTTGTGCCAGTTGGGACCCCTGGATCAGAGAATCCCTCTGTTTCGGCCCAGAGATCCACCAACATCGAACAGTCAGCTCCGTGCCGGTCTAAGCTCATGGGGCCCATTTCCCAAGCAGGGACGGGACCGAGCCTGTGATTTGCATTGCTCGGAGTCCCTGCAACAATGCAGGGCTCCTGTATCGACCAGGGGGCCCAGTGCCTAACAGGAACAGGAGGTTCTATATCAATAAGGGGGCCTCGATTCGGTCGGAGGAACATTTGTTCGATAGAGACGATGCTGGGCAGCCGAGTGACAGAGAACCTCTTGCGCCGGTCGGGCGCTCTGACAATAAAAGGAAACATTGTAACTTATGATAAGTGTTCACGTTGAGACACTTTGAAGGTCCTGCGCCGGTCAGCGTTCCTAGTGCCGAACGGTGGGCTCTCCAATCCAACTCCAGCATGGGCTTGTTACGATGTTGTTGCGCCATTAAGGGTCCCTACGTCGATCCGGGACCGTCTGCGCGAATCAGAAAGGCCTCCAGCGTCAGGAAAGGACAAATGTGATATGGTGTATTCCTCTAAGGGCCTCTGGATCGACCAGGGGGTCCCACCCCGTGTCGCCAGAGTGGCAGCCGGAAGACACCCCGCGGTGGAGCGAAATGGACCTCCAGCCCCTGACCGAGACCACTAATATGTTCCCCTAGTGTCCTACTCGCGCGCAGCTCCACCGCACGCGTTCTCACTGACAGGCCAGCACGTATGTAAACAGATTACATGCATACAACACACGAGCTGCACAACGAGTCGTTTCGCCTCAGCGGGACGAAAAACAAACCTTATCGAAATGAGGATTACATTTTACACTTCATCGGCCTTCGGATGAAAATCTTAACAAGTAATCCACTGATATACTTCGTTGTGTCAGAATGCATTTAAGGTACCTTTTTGAGACTTGCGAAACATTGTGTGTGCTTTTTTGGAGGGAGGGGGGGGGGGGGTAACAACAAAGGTGAGTTTTCGCCGTAACAAATCTGCGCGTTCCTCTTGACATATTTGGTTGGATACTGGCATGCCCAAAACAAATACGATGGTCAAAGTTCGAGATGTACGAAATGGCGATGTTTATTCGAAGTATCGCCACCGTTATCAGCTGCCGCGTAATCCCTGGTATCTCAAGCCCGAATGCAAGATAATTTTACATTCCTGCGGTGCAGAATATCGGTGTCCCTGGCTGTGTAGTCTGTGGAGTCCCATATTCTTCATGGTTCGCCTAAGCCACCTCGACAGAAGTCAAGGTTTTAGAGAAGTTCGAATTTTTGAATTTTGTGTACTCCATAACTATCAAAAACACTAACTATCAAAAGACGACTATGCTGATTTCGCTGCACGTAAACTAACGATGGCTAGCCATTCGAGTCGTGTTATCATGCCTGTCTTCGTTGGTATTTATTACCTAAATCTAACTCGTTTTGCTAGTCTTCGCCAAAGTTCTAGCTCAGAATGGTAGGAATCGTGGCTCATCTGATCACTACGGGTTAATGCGTGCAGCTGGTGTGCCTATCTGGGGCGGGGGGGGGGGGCAAGGGTCCTCCTAGCACCCATTGCGTGTCGTCCTGTCCCCCGCCCTTACTGTCGGTGGTGACGTGACACCGCCGTCCCACAACCCGCGCGGCAAACGTTCAGTCGTGAACATGACCCTTGTAACGGCTCATGTCTGGGCTGGAGCTGAGGTCAAAGATTACTCGCATCGGGCTTTTAACATCTTGTTGTTGGGGTTTCCTTAGGTGCGGTTGCTGTGGGCACCTCGGTGTTGTGACCTGACCTGCCCCAAGCTGTCAGGGACAACAACCAGCAGCCGAGGCTGGTGGCCTGGGTGGAAGCCGTTTACCGTGCAGTCGGAGGAGATGACTGTGGTGGAGGTGCAGAGGATAGTCGGCCGTTCTGCTGCTGGCGGTGCCATTTACATTATTCGCTCAGCCACTGGGTCTGGTCGAGCGTCACCTGCCACCCGTCTGCCTGCAACACTTCGTGTTGCAGGTGCACGATTGTGGTGTTGTGCCCAGGTCGTGCTCGGTTTTCTCGGCTCGTGCCCAGGTCGTGCTTGGCTCGGCTGGTTCGTGCTCGGTTCGGAAGTGCTAATGTTCCCTTGTAATGCACATTTCTGCAGTCTGAGCGGCAGTTTAATTTGTATGGAATATTGTGCCGTGAGTGGTAGGTAACCTCTTCAGATCTCAGGTCCCCTAAGCAAAGAAGATTCACCAAGTGACATAGCCAGTCAGCAGTATTTTCAGCGAGATGTTGTCATAACCCGCCACAGCAAATGATAGTAAAGCATATATTATCGAATGCCGTCGAACAAATGTGAACATTACGTCAAACTCGCGCGGGACCAGCATGTGCCAGTACCCAGCGGCGGGACATTGCACCGCGACAGTGTAGCCTCCCATGAACGATGCAAAACACGCCCATCAGCACACGTGACAGTCGCGGCTACGGTGCCCGACGCAGCGAAAGCCTGTAGCCCCGCGGGTCATCACCGGCAGCCCGCGGGTCATCACCAGCCCCGCGGTCATCACCGGCAGCCCGCGGGTCATCGCGTCCCGCCCCGGGTCATCACCGGCAGCCCCGCGGGTCATCACCGAGCCCCGCGGGTCATCACCGGCAGCCCCGCGGGTCACACTCACCCCGCGTCATCACCGCAGCCCGCGTCATCACCGGCAGCCCCGCGTCATCACCGGCAGCCCGGGTCATCACACGGCAGCCCCGGGTCATCACCGGCAGCCCCGCGGTCATCACCCAGCCCGCGGGTCATCACCGGCAGCCCCGCGGGTCATCACCGGCAGCCTGTCGAGCTTTACTGGCAGCCCCTTTCGCGAGCCAGCTCCACCTGACGCTTGCGGAGCTGCACGGTGCCAGGAGCCGCCGCCAGCACGTGCTCGTCGGTCAGCGGCAACAGCGACTGCTCCAGCTGGTCCTCCGTCATGCCGAACACGTACAGCGGCCTCCCTGCACACACACAGTGGGTAGCGACGGAGCCACGTTAACATAGAGCGACCGCCGACACCCGTAAAACGAATTGCCAGATGGGAACAGGGCCGCACAGGGACGGAAGTAACAGCTTAGACGGGTGCGCCGTAAGACCACGCCGTCAACCACCAGGATTGTCACGCCGGCAGAGTCAAACATCTCACATGCAGCCTGCCACAAATCGGGCGACAGCACACGCGTTCGGTGAAAACAGATCACATAGCCGGCGACAGCACACGCGGTGAGTGAAGACAGCTCACACAGCCGGCGACAGCACACGCGGTCGGTGAAGGCAGCTCACACAGCCGGCGAAAGCGGTGGCGGCCGAGTGCGCCGCACGCGGGCTTAGTAGCCACTGGTGCGAGACAGCTCACCCGTGTCAAGGACGCAGTCGCAACCGTCAGTCATGGCGATTGGCTGCTGGACCCCGAGCCGCGTGGGCTTGCCCTCCAGAGCCCAGGAGGAGCGGTAATGGAGCGT